AAGTATTACAGTTTAAAAGGAACACCGACTAAACCTCCCATAACACCCCTATAAAAGTGGACTTCCCGGGGAACTCCGGGATTCCCTGTGCTTGCGGTGAATACAAAATAAAAAAAAAACATTTGTCATGTAATATTAAAATTAATAATAATAACAATAACAATAATAATGCACTGAATAGAGAAAAATATAATAATAGGTGCTTTCTTAATATCCTAATCCCAAACAGGGGAAATCCCTAGGTCACGGGACAGTCTAGTATTTTAGGGGGTGATAGATAAGCGGCAAGCAGTCGTGGGACCTAGGCTGCATGCAGTCATGTGACCTAGGCTGCTCTTTCTCTCGGAACGTAGGTGGGTCTATTGGACTGTCCTGTGACGTCATCTGAGTGCTAGGAAATTACGAAAGACATAATAAAACATTTTAAAAAGGTCGTATTTCAAACACATACTTGAAAAGAGAATTTATAAACATGGCTGCGTTTGAGTATAGGGGACAGTTTAGTATTCTTTAAAATTCAGGGGGTTTATGATCCTGACTGCCATCACTCCGCAAGCTATGGGAGCATCAATGGGCATTAGCCCCTAAGTGTTAGTGCTCCCGACTGAACAAATTATTCATTGTTGCAATACAATATAACCTCCTGAGAGGTGTCAATTAGTACTCGCAAATGTAATCTTTGCTGTAGTAAATTCAAACTGCACAAGGTCAGTCAGTGTCACGCCACTTAGTCGTTTCTGATGTAAAAAAAAAGACATCTTTCCTGAAGCCTGTTTGATTGAAATCTTTACTACCCTGCTGTAAATAACTAGAGGGAGAGGAAACGATCACGTCTGCAGTAAACCTGGTGATTGTTTTGATTGTACGTGTAAATGATTTTCGTCATATAATTCAATAACCTAGGGACTTAATCTGCAACAAAATAGCTTTCACATGGTTATCTCCGATCTGGTCAACCGTAATAGAGGGGAGATCATCGAGCTGCAATTGACTCGACTTCAGTGACTGAAACTACACATGCACATTTCCTTCCCTTGAGTCAACAAGGATCTCTCAACATAGGCGCATGAACCTGGGAGCTTATGCTCCGTTGCTTCCCTCCCGGTTCTTTTATTATATTTCACCTTATCTCAGCGACTCCGAGAATTCTTAAGGAATTACCCGGAAAGCCAATATTATAGGGGGGTTAGGGTTAGTGTTAGTCGGTGTTCATTTCGCACCTTATTGCCCCATTAATATTGAATTTTTCCGGGAATTCAATTCTAAATCTCGGGGTCATGTCATCTGACCTAGTCATCTCCTTGTGAGATGCAATTTTTCGTTATGTTGAAACCCCACCCTGGCTCTTGCCAGGGACCGCAATATAGCCCGACCATAAATATGTTCTAATGACTGAACGCGGTTTCTGGGACCTCTCCACGGATGATTCTCATCCGCATGGTTGCACTTTGTGTCATCAGGCGTTTATCGCTTGTGTGATGTGCCAGTGGGGTATAAAATCTACTCTAGTTATGTCATTTTGTCATCTCTTCTTGGGATGCAATTTTTCGTTATTTGAAGCCCTAATCTGGCTCTTGCCAGGGGCCGCAGTATAGCCTGACCATAATTATGGTCTACTGGTTGAACGCGGTTTCTGGGACCTCTCCACGGGTGATCCTCATCCACATGGCGGTACTTAGTTTCATCGGGTGTTTATCGCTTGTGTGATGTCCTGATGGGGTAAAAGAAGATAGAGATAGATCTCGGAGTTCCCCAGATGGTCTGTAATAAAAAAGAGGAACCCCCTTCCCACCTCTACCCAAACATTTGTGTGGGTTTTTCTGTAATTCTGCTTTTTTCAATGTATCGACTTTTTTTTTCAAAGGAAATATAAGTTTCTACAGTCTCAAGAGTTCCTCACCTGGTACGTCCTTTACTTAAACATGCTGTTCATTTATAACGACGTGCCCTTTTTTTTCCTTATCAGCTATGACATCACACTTCCCATAGGAAGCTCCTACATCAGGGATATTCAACTGGCGGCCCACGGGTCAAATCTGGCCAGCCAAGGCCTACCAAGTGGCCCGCGAATAATTTCTAGCTGTATTGTATTTTCGATCTTTCTATGCTGGAGCTGAAGCCTCTGGCCCTTGACGATCCCCGTTTGTGAACATTTTGGCATCTAAGCCAACTTAGTTGAATAGCCCTGGTGTATATTAATCTACGCTGGATGAGTAAGGAATTCGCGGCCTGAGAATAAAACAAATGTTTTGATGGCCATTGGAAAACATTACTGTAGGGAGAGACATTTCAGTGAAAATCAAAGCAGCAGTAGACACTACTTTGTAGAAGTGACATACACTGATGTTTATTTGCTGATCATGATGTTTTCATTTTGACATTGTCCCTGCTCACTGCAAGATGTTGTGCCAATTTAGATACTATTTTACGATGTAGTGTCCCCAATTTTCTCTAATATTCACGTTATCCCGATACAATCATTGCGATTGCTAAAGTCATGCTAATGGTAATCAACGTCTGCAGGATCAATAGGAGCTGCCTGGTGTATCATGTGGATGATGGTAATCGCTTCAAGTCCCTCCACACATCCTAGAATTCTTCAAGAAGAGGAAAGTCTGCTGAGGCGAAGTGGCGTCTCAACAACTCAAAAGGCAAATTCAGTAAGTTTGCATTACCTCTCAAGTCTTTGAGTTATATTTCATATTCCACGAAATCTCTATAACAAATGTTATATATATATATATATATATATATATATATATATATATATATATATATATATATATATATATATATATATATATATGTATATAGGTGATAATTGTATCTTTATTTTGTCTTCTCATGGAGAAGTATCATAACACACACACACACACACACACACACACACACACACACATATATATATATATATATATATATATATATAATAGATATATATATAATAGATATATAGGTAATAATTTTATCTGTATTGTATGCTCTCATGCAAAGGTATCATAACATATATATATATATATATACATACATACATATGTATATCTGTGATATATTTTGTTTGTATTCTGTATTCTCATGCAGAAGAATCGTAATATTTGGCATAAACACGTATCGTAATTCTGGTTACTTCTTTAACAATATTTCACGTAATGTTCTTCTTGTCCCAAGCTGGCACCAATGTTGTGCTGGACAATGGAAACTCTTCAGGTGTTGTTTGTGTTTTATTTACAGCTGACGACATGAATTTCTCCAGACATAAAATATAGTAGCAAATGAGTATCAACAGCATTTAGTACGACACTAGCCGTACAAACTAATGTAGTTTGGTAAACATGTCTTTTCTATAACAAAAGTAATATGTGGTCGCTGACCGTCCCGCACTAACAACGGATCTTCTTCTTTGCGTTCACCGGTTGTAAACTCCTGCGGAAAGTTTCGTCAACTTTTGGTCTAATCTTGTTCCAGAACTTGATTGTTGTGTGCACATCTGTTTTACATATCTGGCTTTTTTGTTGTGTTGGTTCCGAGCATCTCAGGCAGATGCACTCTGATTTCAAAGATAAAAACTGAGACTTTGAAAACAAAAATGCAACATAAAAATTATTTGAATGTTCTAGATCAGCTGTGATTTGTGTCACTTAGACCATATGAAATGTTAATAGTTTAATAACAAACGAATCTAAGCAATAGGCCATGTCACAGTCATAAAAGAAATAAACTTGAGAATCTAAAGAAAAACAAATGCTATAGAATTCCTCTTCTAATGCAGTGTGGTTCAGCTGTAATCTTTGTTCTATAATTCCTGTGAGATTTCCATTGCATGATGAAAACAGTAAGTACATGTTTGCCTGCCACCATTCACCACCTACTGAAACCCTCAAAAATTGTTATTGATTCTTACTACCAGTAAATGTTCCTCGTTGTTCACATATCGTTTCCATTTGTATAATCTGTTAAGCACACGTACTGATTTCGAATGTATGTATTGTGTGTGTGTGTGTGTGTGTGTGTGTGTGTGTGTGTGTGTGTGTGTGTGTGTGTTTTGAATATGCTGCCCCAAAAAAGAAACGCATAGCTACTGAAAGAAACATACATACTAACAATATTGACATTCTGCTTCTTTGTAATTCAATAAATGAAATTACTCAAATTTCACACAAGAATAGACAGATAATGTTTTAGAGGATTGGTTTCCAGTTGAAAATAAAGTGAAAACGGGATGTAGTTTGTCTCCTCTGTTATTTAGTGTATCTATTCATTTGGCAATGAACAAATGTAATTTAAACTTCGGCTTTGGCTGGGTGGAGAACCTACAGCTTAAAGATCTCGATTTCACAATTTAAATTGTTCTGTTAAACAAGCCCAGCTACGACATGCAACGATGAACAGATGATTTCGTGAATGGAAAACAAAACTACATCAAAATGTGGACTACAGAAGTTATGAAAAGACAAATATATTCAAGACACCGATAACAAGTCAAGCAGCATTAGAGACAAAATAATTAAATTACCAGACTAGTTTACTTAATAATGTTTTAATATTATTAATAGTCAAGGAAATACAATGGGGGAAATTACAACACGCAATGGCAAAGCATTAGCGGCTTTTGGAAGATTAAACAAAATAGGTTAGTTGCGTATCCTTTACAGGACGTTGCAGAACCTACCCCAACAGCCCCTGGCTGTTGTGTGGTTTTTCTAGGCAAAAATTACGTCCAGTAGTTTGCCATTGCTTCCTGGACGGTCGGCTTTCTTGACACCACTGTCGAAACCAACGCAAGGCGCTTGGCCCGAGTTTGGATCGAACCCAGCATCACTGCATTACGAAGCGTTCACATCGACCTAGCCACAGATCTGACTTAAACAAAATATGGAACTCTAAATTATTTCGTTTTAGAACAGTTACGTATTTTCAGTTCTATTGCTATTTAGGTTCTAATATGTGACACTGAAAGTTGGAAAACCAGTTAAAAAATGAATTTCAGTTAAAAGCATTTGAAAACAAATGCCTGGGGAAAATAATAAACATAAAAAAGGATGAATGCTAGGGGAGTAAAGAAATAAGACATTTCTGGACAACCATTAGTATCAGCAGCCATAATACAGATAAGTTAGCGCTATAATGTATGCATTCTAAGAAGAGAACAGAGAATCATCAGACAATGAAATAGGAAATACATTAGCTGACGAAACAAGGACGTTTCAGAAAAACCTCAAGGGTGAAGTTAATGAGAGAAACTAAGAGTTCTGGACTGGATTCCTTCTATGATATCGAAGTGTTTGCACAGAATAGAGTGGAAAGGACAAATAGACCGCGAGCCCTAAAATTCATAGAATGACCCACGGGACAGCGAATACCTTAAAAAAAAAAATTATGTGTAAACATACTTTAAAAGATAATTTCTCTACCTGGTTAAATGGACCCGCTTAGCCATCTTACACATTTTGTGTGTGTGTGTGTGTGTGTGTGTGTGTGTGTGTGTACGTGTGGGACCCCTGACTCCCAAAATATTTTTAGGGTTCGGGGAGGAGGGGTTGGGAGGGGGGAGGGGTGGTCGTGCATGAGGCCAGAACCTCTAGATTTCAGCGCCAATGTTGTCAAGTGAGAATGGCTGGACGAGGTTGCCAAGTGTTAATGGTTAGATAATGTTGCCCAATGAGGATTCCTGGACGAGGCAAGTTATGATGGCTGGACAAGGTTGCCATGTAAGGATGGCCGGACGAGACTGCCAAGTCAGGATGGCTGGACGAGGTAGCCAAGTGAGGATGACTGGGCGTTGTTGTCAAGTGAGGATGGCTGGACAAGATTGCCAAATGAGGATGGCTGGACAAGATTGCCAAGTGAGGATGGCTGGACGAAGCTGCCAAGTGAGGATGGCTGGACAAGATTGCCAAGATAGGATGGCTGAACGAAGCTGCCAAGTGAGGATGGCTGGACAAGATTGCCAAGTGAGGATGGCTGGACGAAGCTGCCAATTGAGGATGGCTGGACGAAGCTGCCAAGTGAGGATGGCTGGACAAGATTGCCAAGTGAGGATGGCTGGACGTTGTTGTCAAGTGAGGATGACTGGACGAAGCTGCCAAGTGAGGATGGCTGGACAAGATTGCCAAGTGAGGATGGCTGGACAAGATTGCCAAGTGAGGATGGCTGGACGAAGCTGCCAAGTGAGGATGGCTGGACAAGATTGCCAAGTGAGGATGGCTGGACGAAGCTGCCAAGTAAGGATAGCTGGACAAGATTGCCAAGTGAGGATGGTTGGACGAAGCTGCCAAGTGAGGATGGCTGGACAAGATTGCCAAGTGAGGTTGGCTGGACGAGGTTACAAAGTCAGGATGGCTGGACGATGTTGTCAAGTAAGGGTAGCTGAACAAGGTTGCCAAGTGAGGATAGTTGGACGAGGTTTGCGAAGTTAGGATGGCTGGACGAGGTCGTTAAGTTGTTCAATAGGGGTGAATGCGTAATGAAACTACCAGTGGAAAAAAATACCATAAATGCTAATAAACCAAGTGAGCCCTAACACGTAATCGTGAGACAGAAGATGTCAGGCCGGACTGAGATACCCAGGGAAATCCTGATTGTCAAGTATAGAAAGACGGATTGCTTAAAGCATGACAGCCAGAGTTTTAAGAACAGGTTTTGCAATTGGGAAAGCATAAATCTTTCACCTGGACAAGAAGCCAACGTGAGAGATAGACAAGCTTTTAGAAGGGCAGACATAACCATAAATCAGGAGGATAACACATGTCAAGGGTACTCAAGGCGGTCAGTCCAGACCGCCAAGAGGGTCAGCTCTCGAGGAGTCATGTCTGAGGCGTTGTAGCCGAGTGGGGTGGACACAGGCTGAAACTTAGAAAAGAAAGTTGACTATATGGCCGAGAAGAAAATTGGTTGCGAAAAAAATATGTTTTAACAATTACGTTTAGGAGAGATTTTATTAACGGTTGATAATATTGAAATACTTAATGGTCAAAGCAATTTGTATTGAAATATATGAATTATCATTGTGTTAATTAAACTTATCGTCTTGTATGAATAGCCAGCAACAATATACTGAAGTGTTCATACTATTGTTAAAGGAAACATGTTCCTTCTGCTTGAATTGACATTATATTGCATAATAAACAACTTTAGTTTCAACTGATTTGTTGGATCACAGGCTGTGTTGATAAACACTAGAAAAAACACAGGAACACTATTTTATCACTTGTCCGTTAGGCACGCTTAAAACTTGGGGAGCATGGAAATGCAACTGTGTCACATTCATGACATTGTTTAACCCTCATTGTTTTTTTTTTTTTTCTGCCAGAACCAGTCAGTGCCATGGTGCAAGTTCTTCACGTCTATGCCTGTAATAGCCATTTGGGTGGGTGCATTTTGTCGTAACTTCATTTTTGCCTTGCTCATCACCGAAGTCCAGCAGTAAGTACTACAAGGACGTCTATGATCTTCCAGCGTCCATGGTGGGTACATACCTTTGAAGTAGTTATTTTTAAATATATAAAGCGAGAAGGAAAAGCATAATGAAAGATGGTGAAAAGGATTGGGTTGTGAACTAAACAAAAACAAAAGATCTATTTTCACACCTTTTGGCGAATTTGGCACACTGGACTAGCTCTATGAAGTAAAAATAAAGGACCCTTTTCCAAAATGCTTTCAGGCATTTTGGGCATACAGTGCTAGACATATTTTATAGATCAATAGGCACTCAATGGGCGAGGTAGTCAACATGACTGCGGTCGCTTTTCTTTCCACGACTTAACCTGGAACCCCTTTATGGCTAGAATTTGAATCCCTGTCCTTCAGATTCGCAGGCAAGTATCTAGCTGCTACACAGCAACTCCCGGGCAAACTCTAAAAGTCACTTTAAAAAGTAGATATACTAGTCAGCATACTATGAGCTCTTTTGTTGATTTTGTACCTGTGAAAGTTACTTCCAAAGACATAATATGTTACCTATATTTGACTAGGTCAAACAAGGAGTTCAGTTAATTTAAAACAATATGCATTACCACCCTGCAAAAACAGACATTATTATATCTGTAAACAGCCTGTAGTGTCTTCTCCAACGAAAAATATTATGTAAAGTAGCAACTGCATTTTTTGATTTATAGTGCCTTTTTTTTTTCAAACAGGGCCTGCCATTGAATATCATATGCAAAAAAATGTACTGCAGCTAAGTTTCGGAAAAAAAAAATTATCATTTCTTAATGAAATCTTAATTCTCAAACGTGCACATGCAAATAATACTTCTCACAGCAATATAATGTTGAAAATGTTTTAATCTTCACCCTGTCTTTTAATAGGCCGAGTTTACTGCTTTAAGTCCTTACTAGTGTTTGAGTCAAGAATCGTTTTAACTCCATATGTGAGCTTTGGAATGCCGATTTTCACCAACTGTAATAGGATTAAGGCGATAACAAGAAATAGGGAGTGGTGGTGGTGGGGAAAAAAGGGGGGGGGGGGTAAGGGGGGGGGGGTAATCACTACATTTTCAGTACGCATTACATAATGCAGTTATTTCTCAATCCAGTTCAGCTAATCCCGCCTCTTTCCGAAACACCCTTGCATGGTCTGGCTAAAATAATAATGCGACTCTCAACATCTGCGACCTCTCAATTGATTCCGTCCATTGTACACAAAGAAAACCTGTTTTCACTTCCTGCGCATGCTTTGCGGATCTGATACTATGACAACATGTGTTGCTGAGATTGTATGGACCCATTTATCTAAACGCCGTAGTTACCGCCTCAACCTCAGTTATCATGCTGGATGTGGTAATGTCCTATGCCAAGCTCTACTCTGTCATCCTTCACACCAATGCTTTCACAATAAAGCCCATACCATTCTTTCTGCCCCTGGTGACTGACTCCTCATTGTATATATACACATCTGCTGACTTAGAGTTGTTCACTTTCAGCTGCTGTACCTCTGCATCAGCAACTCTCGCTGCCAAATCCCTACAATCCCGTTTGAAGGTCATTACCATCTTGTGCAGTTCTTCTCTGCCCTCCCGTACCTTTACACGTTCTTCTCCACAGCTTATCTCTTTAATGTTGCAGACACTGTTGATTGTCGTTTCAGACTGGGCCATCCAAAATCTGTCGCTCTGTAATTTGTCACCGTTCACCAAAGTAGGATAATAAGTAAAGATAGGAGGAGACTCAAAACAATATAATTAGTAATTCAAGGATTGTTTTTAGACCGGGATTCCTCCTCGTATTTCAGAAAGTGCTGACAAACGATGGAAAATTTATTATAATTTGTCAGTGGCCTTAAAATTTCCTCAGAAGAAAGACAAGATGTACATATAATCATAATGCTACTAACACCATCGTAACTGGTACTCTACGCTGGCTGCTGAATTTGTGGGGTGCTTATGGAAATTTCTCGATTCCTAGCTCAATTCTCAGCAAGACTCAAAGGTTCCTCGTTGGCTGAATATGTCTTGATTGGAATCTACTATATCTTTCCATTATACAGTTAGCTTTTAATATAGGTCTATCCTTATATGTCTATCCCTATATGTCTGTCCCTATACACCAAATTCCCATGAAGGTGTGTAAAAGAGTTCGTAACTTAATTTTTTAATAGAAAGACGAGTGTGTGTGTATGTGTGTGTGTGAGTGTGTGTGTGTGTGTGTATGTATGTATGTATGTAAGTATGTATGTATGTATGTGCATCTATGTGTGTGTTTGTTTTCTCTTAGAATGGACTTCTCTCCGGGGTGCCTCAGATATTCATGGTTGTGTTCATGCTTGCTGGAGCCTGTGTGTTCGACATGTTAGTGAAGAGAGGCGTTCTCAGTGTTACCAACACCAGGAAACTGGCCCAGTGTTCAGGCAAGTGCCCACAAATTCATTTATACATGGTTTCTAACGACTAAATAACAAACATTTACGACACTACGTTTTTTAATGTGTATCAATTCAAAATTAGGATAAAGCTGCATTTCAATGTTGTTAAAATTTATATATTTTTGCTCAGACTCATTGAAGAAGTCTGAAGACTTGACAATCATCCAGACAGGGGTTTCATTAACAAAACTGGCTAAACTTTCAAGCTGGCCAAACCTAAACTTCACAGCAACAAATGTTTTGGAAAGTAAAGACAGTCAGAACGATACTGACATCTCCCTTAAGTAAAGACAGTCAGATCGATACTGACATATCCCTTAGGTAAAGACATTAAGAACGATACTGACATCTCTCTCAAGTAAAGACAGTCAGAACGATACTGACATCTCCCTTAAGTAAAGACATTAAGAACGATACTGACATCTCCCTTAAGTAGAGACAGTCAGAACGATACTGACATCTCCCTTAAGTAGAGACAGTCAGAACGATACTGACATCTCTCTCAAGTAAAGACATTAAGAACGATACTGACATCTCCCTTAAGTAAAGACATTAAGAACGATACTGACATCTCCCTTAAGTAGAGACAGTCAGAACGATACTGACATCTCTCTCAAGTAAAGACAGTCAGAACGATACTGACATCTCCCTTAAGTAAAGACATTAAGAACGATACTGACATCTCCCTTAAGTAGAGACAGTCAGAACGATACTGACATCTCTCTCAAGTAAAGACAGTCAGAACGATACTGACATCTCCCTTAAGTAGAGACAGTCAGAACGATACTGACATCTCTCTCAAGTAAAGACAGTCAGAACGATACTGACATCTCTCTCAAGTAAAGACAGTCAGAACGATACTGACATCTCTCTCAAGTAAAGACAGTCAGAACGATACTGACATCTCCCTTAAGTAAAGACATTAAGAACGATACTGACATCTCCCTTAAGTAAATACATTAAGAACGATACTGACATCTCCCTTAAGTAGAGACAGTCAGAACGATACTGACATCTCTCTCAAGTAAAGACAGTCAGAACGATACTGACATCTCCCTTAAGTAAATACATTAAGAACGATACTGACATCTCCCTTAAGTAGAGACAGTCAGAACGATACTGACATCTCTCTCAAGTAAAGACAGTCAGAACGATACTGACATCTCCTTAAGTAAATACATTAAGAACGATACTGATATCTTCCTTAAGTAGAGACAGTCAGAACGATACTGACATCTCTCTCAAGTAAAGACAGTCAGAACGATACTGACATCTCCCTTAAGTAAATACATTGAGAACGATACTGACATCTCCCTTAAGTAGAGACAGTCAGAACGATACTGACATCTCCCTTAAGTAAAGACAGTCAGAACGATACTGACATCTCCCTTAAGTAAATACATTAAGAACGATACTGACATCTCCCTTAAGTAGAGACAGTCAGAACGATACTGACATCTCTCTCAAGTAAAGACAGTCAGAACGATACTGACATCTCCCTTAAGTAAAGACATTAAGAACGATACTGACATCTCCCTTAAGTAAATACATTAAGAACGATACTGACATCTCCCTTAAGTAGAGACAGTCAGAACGATACTGACATCTCCCTTAAGTAAAGACAGTCAGAACGATACTGACATCTCTCTCAAGTAAAGACAGTCAGAACGATACTGACATCTCTCTCAAGTAAAGACAGTCAGAACGATACTGACATCTGCCTTAAGTAGAGACAGTCAGAACGATACTGACATCTCCCTTAAGTAAAGACATTTAGAACGATACTGACATCTCCCTTAAGTAGAGACAGTCAGAACGATACTGACATCTCTCTCAAGTAAAGACAGTCAGAACGATACTGACATCTGCCTTAAGTAAAGACAGTAAGAACGATACTGACATCTCCTTCACAGTGTTAACAAGCCCATGCATCGTATTGACAAGAGACCAGCCTGCCAGTCTGAAGGTCTTGTTCCAGTCTACATCAGGAAGAATTTGTTTTCTTCAAATTCAAATTGACTTCCAAAATGACCAAGACTAAATCTGATGTCAAGTTATGTCCATGAAAATATAGGCTGTAGGCTTGATGATGACCACATAACCTATAGAGTGGCGACTGGTTTACAAAACAGTGAATGAAACATCATATAATAACCCTTGCGCCCTGGTGTGAAACGGGTCTTTTACATTTTATAATTGTTAACCCAGTTCGCCCCAAGACGTTGACAGTTTGTGTGTGTGTGTGTGTGTGTGTGTGTGTGTGTGCGTGCGTGCGTGCGTGTGTGCTTGTGTGTGTACCGTTACTTACCAACTACTGTAACTAAACTCCACTCGCAACACTGAGTGTGTTATCCAGCCAATCAAATAGTTACAAGTTATTTGTGTATCCTTTGGAACACACTGCAAACTAACCGCAACATTTGTTGGTTATTTGTGGTTTTACTAGTTAATGAATCCTTTCTGTGTCTTCTATCCCCAGTGGGATACCGGGCCTGAACCAACTCACGCCAGGTCGTTCGATCATTCGCTATTGCATTTTCAGTTTTGTCTTGAAGGTCTGCCTCCAACTCGTTTTTCTTTTCTTTCGGAAACTGTAATCTTCTATCACCGTTCTCTCTAGGCCACCATAAAGCTTTACATGATCCCCCCTCTCCCCTTCCCCTTAAAAAATCTCAGCTCAGCTACCATTTAAATTTCAAGGGATATATAATGTGGTGCGACGTCTGGAGCTTAGGCGTTGCGAGTTCGACTCGTAAATCCAACGTAATCGAAACCCACTGCTGGCTGCGTGGAATTTTATCATGGTATGGGGCGTCGCAGGTCGACCCAGCCTAAAATGGACACCAGGATATATGTCCTGGGGAAGAAAAGACGACCGGAGTAATGCTGACCACATTACCAGTCTAGTGTCGATTGGTCTGTAAAAAATATGGATTCTCTTCCCGTATGCCCGATACGCCTAAAGTAGTGAAAAGGGATTTTTACTAACTATATAATGTCGTAGTCTCCCCTTGCTTTCCACATCACCATGGCTTGAGCACTTAACCTTTAGCAATATTCTAGACTGCCTTGGTACTAGAGTAGCCTGCGTTTTAATGCTTTTGTCAAGGGCAAATGGCACCACTTCAACAAGATCAAAATAACATGATGTGAGATGTCTAGTTCCCTTATACGCATTGTTGTATTTAGTGTACACGACTTCAACATCTAACATTTAAATCCAACAAAAAATTTCGCTGATTTTTGTTTGATTGACACAGGATTCGGAATACAGGGGCTCTGCACATTGTCTATAGGGTTCGTGGATGATCATATACAAGCCTTCGTTCTGTTTAGCGTTGGTGCAGCGTTTAGCGGATTCGCTATTTCAGGTTGGTATTTTGTTGTGTATGTGTGTGTGTGTTTTTTTTGTTTTTTAAGTATGCTTCTTCAGAATTTCAACCTCTTAAGGTTCGTTCCTGCAGTTATTATTTTAATACACATTGTATACTTGCCTGGTAATTTGCAATAGGTTACATGACTAATAATAGTCTTGTATTTAGGGCTCCAAAAATTATCCAACTCAGAAGGTGTCCAAAATTTACCTTTCAAAACTAGTCTCTAACTTACAGTTAGGAAATGGTCTAAATATTTACCAAACTATATAGTGGAGTGGTTCCAGTAGTCGAGACTCTTAAAGTGTACAGGAAGTATAAAACAATACTTCCGGTTCCAGTTCAGTATGTCTTCAAAGAGCTACTGGGGAAATTTTTGTTGACATATATAATAGGATTACCGGGTAAGTGAACCTGAAGCAAATGCATTTAAACTGTCGTTTCTGTCTGTATTCGCAGCATATTTATGGTAGTTATTTTAAAAAAAATGTTGACAGGAGGGGGGGGGGGGGGGAGGGGCGAAAGGGGTCATGGGTCAAGATATTTAGTGCCCCTACTCCCACCCCTACTCCACCTCTGTATTCACAGCATATTTATGGTGGTTATAAAAAACGTTGGCAAGGGGAGGGTGGGGAGGGGGAGGGGCGAAAGGGGTCATGCGTCTAGATATTTAGTGCCCTCCACCCCCCCCCCCCCCACTACACCCCCTCCCCCTTCCCACAAAAATTTAAAGAAAAATCCTTGTGAATCACCTTTACCGAGAATTTCAAATCGTGTCTGTCTCATGAGACTGTAGGTTTCTAAACTACTTGACCAGAAGTAGCGACCTTCGCGTTACAACTACTAACAACGACCCATAAATTAATCGTAAAAATGAACTTGTAAAAAGATGTCCTTTGAGCGGGTGAATAACAAAATTCCACCTTTCTTTCGTAGTCGTCGTATATCCTTATTTTACTTCACAAAAATCACTGATCAGTATATTCACAAATGTATTTATCTGTGTTGACTTAATGCAGGTTACCAGACTAATCCGTTAGATCTGGCACCACAATTTGCTGGACCGTTGACGGGGATATCCCGAACTGGTATGCTTGGTTCAGTCATCAGCACAACCTTGGCGTCCGCTTTGACCGGTCACTCACATGTAAGTAATCAGTGTATCTATGTTGGCTCTTCACCAGTAATGTGACGCTATGCTGACTCTAGAACAGGGACGTGTCGTTATGTTGGCTTTAGAAAATGACATGACGTTATGTTGGCTCTAGAATATGACTTGACGATATGTTGGCTCTAGAACAGGACATGACGTTATTTTGGCTCTAGAATAGGACATAACGTTATGCTGGCTCTAGAATATGACTTGACGTTATGTTGGCTCTAGAAAAGGACATGACGTTATGTTGGCTCTAGAATATGACTTGACGATATGTTGGCTCTAGAACAGGACATGACGTTATTTTGGCTCTAGAATAGGCCATAACGTTATGCTGGCTCTAGAATATGACTTGACGTTATGTTGGCTCTAGAAAAGGACATGACGTTATGTTGGCTCTAGAATATGACTTGACGATATGTTGGCTCTAGAACAGGACATGACGTTATTTTGGCTCTAGAATAGGACTTGACGTTATGTTGGCTCTAGAATAGGACATGACGTTATGTTGGCTCTAGAACAGGACATGACGTTATGTTGGCTCTAGAACAGGACATGACGTTATGCTGTTTGTAGAGCTGAAACACGATTTTATGTTGTTTGTGGAACTGAAGCGAGGCTTTATTCTAGTGCATAGTAACAACTAGCAAGTCTGTTGGGCAAGCTGAAGACAAAGAGATTAACGCCTAGCTAGCTTTACAACAGCAATGGCAGGACAAGACCAGACGATTCGAAATTCTGGTATCGCCCAATGGAGCAAATTATAGTCTATTGTGCTTTTTTGGTATATTGCAAAATTATGGTCATTATTTGGTGGATAATGCAATCGTAAACCATACAATACTGCCCAGGCTTTGTACTATGGAGAGGAAGAACTTCATCCCTGGCCTTAATCGGTCTCGGAAACAAATCGAGAGGCAGCAGTTACGGGTTATACGTCCTTGTCAGTTGGCGTAGACAGGGGCGCCACAGGTTGCCTCTTACGGAGGGAGACATCTTCGAATGTCACTGATCAACTACCACCCGCCTTAAGCTGGTCAGCCACCAGCCAATAAAGTGTTGATCCGCCACAGCTTGTATGCTTTAATGGGTGCTTGGAGCTAGGACAAAATCCGAACTGCAGGCTGTAAAACCAATGCACCAGGCTATAAAAAGAAACATAACCTCAAGCTTCGACTTGGCTCTTGGAACGTGATGACCATGTGTCCAGGGTTTTCCACTGACCTGGAAATCATTAATGATGTGAGAAAAACGGCTGTCATTGATGCCGAACTCAAAAAACTTGACGTATATATTGCTGGCTTACAGGAAACCAGTCTGCCAGAGGATGGGTCTATTAGAAAAAATACTATACATTTTTCTGGAAGAAATCAGGATGTATGAAGGGGGATTTGAAATAAAGAATTCATTGTAATGGATCAGTTGAGAGTCTAACTGGAGGAAGTGACAGAATATTACCCCTACAATTGTCTACCTCAAGCGGTTTTATTACCCTTGTTACTGCATATGCACCCACTCTAACGTCAACAGAAGACGCAAAGGATTCTTTTTATGAGGAACTGGATAACGCAGTGAAATCAATTTCTAAATCTGACAGCTTCTATATGCTTGGTGATTTTAAAGCTCTCGTAGGGTCAGTTTCAAACTCATGGCCAGTTTGTCTTGAAAAATATAATGTTGGCCACATGAATGAAAATAGGCAGAGACTACTGGAATTCTGCACTAGAAGTGACTTGTGCACAACAAATTCTTTTTTTTAAAACTAAAGACCATAAGGTGTCATGGAAACATACAAGATCTGGCCACTAGCACCAGCTGTACCTTATTCTCATAAGGAGGCAGCACTTAAACTGTGTATCACTAACTCGCAGCTACCACATTGCTGACTGTGATACTGACCATTCCCTAGTTGCTGCAAGAGTTCGGATGAAACCAACGAGAATTTTCACTTCAAAAAACAAATATATCCCTAGGTTAAATATTTCCAAAACTAAAAAACGAAACTAAAAAACGCTGAAAAGTGTTTTCAGTTTCAACAACAGCTTGAAGATGCTTTCACTGATATCCAGGATAGCTCTACAGCGAGCCTAAAATGGGATAAAATTAGGGAGACTGTTTACAAAACAGCTGTATCAGTCTATGGGATTAGAGAAAATAGAAGTAACGACTGGTTTGAAGCAAATAGCCAGTCACTCCAACCTTTAATTGACAGCAAAAAAAAAAGGCAATACTCCTCAGAAACAAGGAAAGAACAACAAGGAACACTCTCATTGAATTAAGAGCAGCTAAAAATCATTTGCAAAAGGTAGCTAGGCAGTGTGCCAACAACTACTGGATCCCGCAGTGTGACAGCATTCAAAATGCTAGCAGTGGTGGTAATGTTAGAGGCATGTATGAGGAAATCAAGAAGGCCATTGGTCCTACAATTTAAAAAAGTGCACCACTAAAGAATTTCAATGGGGAGATTATTAATGACAAGAAGAAGCAGCTAGATAGATGGGTGGAACATTATCTGGGGCTTTACTCGGTTGATACTAAACCAGCAGATGGTGCTCTTAATGCCATGGAGACGCTACCAACTCTTGACTATCTTGACATTTCCAACAGTTGTAGAAGTTGGGAATGCTACTGACGAATTGGCTTCAGGGAAAGCCCCAGGCAGAGATAGAATTCCTATTGAAATCCTCAGGAGTGGGAAAGACATTCTATTCTAACCTCACACTTCTATCAGCTAATAACACTCTGCTGGCAAGAGGGAGAGGTTCCGCAAGATTTCAAAACTGCAATCATCATAACTATGTACAAGAACAAGGGTGATCGGAGTGACTGCAATAACTACAGGGGAATATCACTGGTGTGTACTGTTGGAAAAGTGCTTGCGAGAATTGTTCTGCGAAGACTCCAGATACTGCGGGATCGCGTTAACCCAGAGTCCCAGTGTGGCTTTCGTGGGAACCAATCTACCACTGATATGATATTTTCGTTACGACAGTTGCATGAAAAATGCCGCGAACAAAATCAACCACTGTATGTTGCTTTTATTGAGGCATTTGATTTGTTTAGTCGAAAAGGTCTGTTCAACGCACCGAAGAAGACTGGGTGTCCACCTACTCTTATGAGTATTATTGAGTCGTTCCACAGGTATGAAAGGTACAATCAACTTTGATGGTGTAACATCGGAGGAGTTTTTAATCAAAAGTGGTGTGAAGCAGGGGTGTGTACTTGCTCTTACCCTCTTTGGAATATACTTTTCACTATTTTTGACACATGTCGTTCGAGATCAGGAGGGTAGTATTTTTATTCATTCTCGATCTGACGGCAGCCTTTACAATGCTCACAGCCTGAAGGCCAAAACCAGGATAAGAAAGGTACTTATCAGAGAGCTGCTGTTTGCAGATGATGCCGCAATAACCCCCCCCCCCCCCCCCCCCCCCACTCAAAGGAGTAGCTGCAATGTTTACTATCTGCCTTTGCTGATGCATGCTGTGAATTTGGACTAACAGTCAGCAAAAAGAAGACAAAGGTTATGTTGCAAGGTGTCAATGACAGACCTACAGTCTACATTGACGGTGAAGAGCTTGAGACCGTAGACCATTTTACCTATCTGGGTTCCACAGTGAATAGTAAACTATCGCTGGACCAAGAAATCAACATCAGGATAGGTAAGGCAGCAACAACAATGAGCAGATTGACAAAGAGAGTTTGAGAGAACAGAAAGCTCACAAAAAAAAAAAAAAAAAAACCCTTGTCTATCAGGATTTTGTTCTCAGCACTTTGCTTTATGGCAGTGAAACTTGGTCAACCTATTTGAACCAAGAGAGACGATTTAATAGCTTTCACATGTGATGCCTAAGAAGAATACTTGGCATTAAGTGGCAGGACAAAATCACAAACACTGAGGTACTGGAAAGAGCAGGTACTACAACAGTCTTTTCCATGCCCATTCTACGAAGGCTCAGGTGGCTGGGTCACACCTGGAGAATGGAGGATGGCAGAGTCCCTAAGGACATCCTTTATGGTGAATTAAAGACAGGAAAAAGATGTCGAGGCCGACCTCTACTACGTTATAAAGATGAGTGCAAGAGAGACATGAATTGCCCAGGTATTGAGGCGGACTCATGGGAACAAAATAGCATGGACCGTGTTGTGTGGAAAAGGCATATGAGGAAGGGAATGAGACTGAAGGAAGGAATGATGACAGAAAGGATGAGAGCTGAGCGACTCAAAAAAAAAAAAAAAAACCGGATTAATCACAAATGTTGTTAACAATGGTCCTGAAATCCTATGTTATCATTGTGGATAACTTTTCTTGACACGGGCGGGTCTTGCTAGTCACACTCACCATCGCCATGGGCTGTGAGTCTCATGCCTCCTCATAGCGCAATATAACACTATCGTCTGGAAAGACGGAAAGGTGCCCTTGATGATGATGATGAAATGAGGGCAATCGGAAACCATACAAGCAGTAATTTAATTAAATTTTGCTGAAAATCGGTTGGGAAGGGGCGCAAAGTGATCAAGCCGTTTGTCTTGCGTTTTGAAGATCGTGGATTATTTGTTAAGGACGTGTAATTCAGTTTATGAAGGCAGTTATTACCGAGATACCGGAATATTGTCGCTGAGGCTACGGAGTTTGTTCTTTTTTAGAGACTCTCAGCAGGCAGCTAGTCGTATGCGGAGAGAGACTGGGTCATATGGAATATTCCTGTGTGCATTGAAGTCGAATCTCTCGACTTCAGCTTTAATTTTAGGCTCAGTAGTTTGGCATTGCCCTCCAATAAACACTGTCGAAATCCAAAGCTGTCTGCTGTCAATTCACCCTCATCTGGAAAGGGAAAAAAAAAAGACTGGAACTACAAAGTGCGCTCCCAAAACCTAGGCCATAGAAGCCGACACACACACAGTCACACAGACATACATATACATACAAAAATATACACATGTATATAATTGCACACTTAAACAAGACGTTGGCTCTTGAAGACATCCCCTCCCCCCGAATTTCATCAAATGTGTCTAGGGTTGAGTATATTTTGAAATGTTTTCCCTGTGTCAGTGCTTCTCTAATATACCTTCTATCTCCACAGAGCCTGAAAGACTGGCAGTACGTGTTTATTACCGCTGGATGTGTTCATCTGGCAGGCGTCGTGTTCTATGGGATATTTGCTTCAGGAAATCTGCAGCCGTGGGCAAGTGAGAGTCAAGAAATTATTATAAACTCAACTGACTACCATGCAACGTCAGACAAAGACGGGGACAGCAACTCCAGCGTTAGCAAAAAGACCGAAGCTGGATAGAACTCTTGGTACAATGAGAAAAAAATATATAGTATTTCATGTAACTATTATGTTTTTGCAATATCGAAGTAAATGAGACAAAGCTCAAGCAAGTTGACATGTTTAAGTACTTGGCTACCCTGATAACGTCAGATGGAAGATGTATTAAGGAAGTTAAATTTAGAATAGTTAAAGCAAAGACAGCATTTTATAAAATCAAGAATATTTTATGCAATCTTTTTTGTCGATTGAGACGAGAAAGAGCATTCTTTAGAACTACAAGGTCCTACAATTAGGTAATGAGACTGACTTTACTGTGGCCAAGACAAAAATGCCATGAATGAAGCAAAGTATGGAATCTAATGAGGCAACATTCATCTATGATCTAGCAACTTATCATAGCCGCTCGATAAGCAGACAACAAACAAGCCGCCATTTTGTTGACGAAGTCAGAGGTACATTGTTACGTAATCAGCACGGAGGAAAAAGCTAAAATTGAAAAAGTGTCATTGAAACAGTTAAATTGATGCAACAAGTTTATGGGAATAATTTTTATCTCGTGCACAAATGTTCAGATGGTATTCACGATTCAAAAGTGGTGTGGAAAAAATTACTAATGCACCTAGACCTGGACGCCAAATTTATGTTTGTAATGATGAACTCATTGCAAAAGTCAGAAAACGGATACAAGAAGATCATTGTTTTACTGTGAGGATGATGGCAGATGAATCTGGTGTTAATAGAGAGACAATTAATAAAATGTTTGTGCAAGATTTTGTCGAGAAAAAAGTTGCTTGCCCGTTTGTACCAAAAACATCAGCGGGTTGAGTACCCAAGAGACTTCATCAGAACAAGAATTTTTGACCCAAAAACAAGTGTGTGTTCTCAGCCTTCCAGCCTATTCCCCAGATTTGTCTCCCTGTGATTATTTTCTATTCTCTAAATTAAAGTTATGATTGAAAGGACGCTTCTTCAACAGAATCGATGATATCCAAAGGGCTGTAACATCGACTTTAAGAGCCATAATAACAGAAGAACTCCAGATCACTCCAGTGTTTCTTAGATCGTGCCACTTGCTGTATAAATGCACAAGGGGCTTACTTTGAATCAGATACAGGTTATTTCTTCAACTGTTGATTATTTTAATTTTTATGGAATTAGTCTCATTACTTATTTGTCGGGCCTTGTATATTAATCATATCTTGATATACGGAAGTTAATCTTATACCGTTTGTAAATTAGTGAAAACATATTTGAAAGCTTCGGAAGTGTGGTGTTATAGACGAATGATGAGAATACCCTGGACAGATAAGAAAAGTAACGAAGACGTCTTGAAAGAAACTGACTTACAGAGAGAACTGAATGCCCATATCAGAAAGAGACAATCTACATTCTTTGATCATGTGATGAGAAGGAGAAAACTGGAGTACATCGTGACGGTAAGAAAATGGGAGGTGAGGGGTGGCAGAGGGAGACCGAGAGAAAAGATGGAGGACAGTTTGACAACATGTCATGGAAGATCATTTATATTAGAGTTGATTCAAATTACACGAGACAGAAGGTTGTGGATAAACACGACAACCAACGCCACACGGCATGGACTTTAAGAAGAAGACGATTGTGTAATTACTCCTGATATGAATACTTTTACCTAATTCCTGATTTTTAATTTACCGCTGGCAAACGTCTCTTCTGTTTGAATTATCTCAATAGAATTTGTGTTAATAATTAATATATTTCAAGTACAGTCAAGTGCAATAAATTCTCCTTTCTCCCCCTTTATACTTTAGTAAGACCGCCCCTCCTTCACCACACCCACATTGTACCACTATTGCCCAAGTAGAAATGATGTGTACAGTTTGACTGTACCTCTGAGATTTTCTTCTGTTCAGTCACATCCAAATAGTGGTTCTTTGAGTCACTAGGTGTAAGTCTTTTAAGCAGCAAGTCCATAGGAAAAGGTATTTTTTAAAGTAAATACCATACACATAGGACATCAGATTGCTTCGTTAACTATAGACCGCCCAGATTAACTGTTTCATACGGCTAAGTGGTGTTTCTGGGATTTGTTTGTTTATTCGCATCTGAACAGTGGTTGGTTAATTTCTTCTTCTTCCTAAAGTCCTTGTCGTGTTACGTTGGCATCTGTGGCTTACGAGCTTCGTAATGCCGGGATGCTGGGTTTGATTCCGGCTGCGGACGGTTTGCCTTGCGTAGGTTTCGACAGTGGTACCGAGATATGACCGTTCAGGAGCAATGGCAAACTACTGAAAGTAAAATGTTCCTAGAAAAACCACAACAGCTAAAAAATGCTGGGGCTGGTTCTGCAAAGTCTTTTAAAGGATACGCAACTAACTTACTGTATATTGTCTAAAAGCTGACATTTCTTGCATTATTTTATACTTGTCTTGTGTATTCTCGTTTTGTTCCTACGTGTATGTGCCTTTATTGTTTAGCCAAACCTATTTCGCTGCATTAAATTTACGTACAATCTCCCTGTGTATTCTTTTATATTCAGAATGGTTGTGTTTATTTTAACTTTTAATTTTCATCAGATGTAAAATTGTCTCTGTCATCCATTTTTTTCTTCACTGTCTTCTCTATTTCTTGTAATATTTATTTTGATGTCATGTGTAATGACACTTTCAGCATTTGCCATTGTTCGTCTATACTGTTTATCCTTTCAATAGCATTCTATCTATTTTGAACAGTAATGTCGTATCTTTGGAAGGATGGAAGGATAACATCAGAGAAGCTACAACAGCACGATGTGCCTATGGTCGAGAAGGCCAGAAGAGCCAGAAACAGAACCTTATATCTCCCTCGACACCCACACCGATTAAAGAGGAAGCCTTTTCTAGTTTCTCCAGCCTTATCTTTAGTTTCCCAACGATTGGCACATGGTCACGACTACAGGCTGCACCTGGTCTTGTATTTACTGTCAGCAAACTGTTTCTGAATCGGCTGTTTATAAGTATGTAATCAACCTGGTTTCAAAAATTATTTCCAGTGTTTCCAAGTCCACAGGCGTCTAGAATGCTGTTTAAAGTGAGTATTTCCAATTATCCTTTTATATGTCCCAACCCATTCAACCAGTTTTTCTCGTTTTTCATTTCTCTCCTCAAAACCATATCCACATGTAATGTCTTCCTCCTTTTCTTGCCCAACCTTTGCATTAAAGTCACCTAGCACTACAGTTGTTTCTCTGGTTTTATACTGTACAAAGGCTATGTTCAGTTGTTTATAAAAATCATCGCTTTCTTCCTCCCAGCTGTCTGCCGTTGGTGTATAGACCTGTATAATATTCACATCTACCAATTTACCACTCTATTTGAAAGACCGCGTTCTGATATAGTCATGTATCCATTTATCATTTTGTTTGTCTTTCTTTGTCCAAAATTATGCCGACACCTCTTTCATGTTTTTGTCCCCCAGAGTTAATTACTCTGTAGTTATCTGAATACATTTTCCTTGCTCTAATATGTATTGTTTCACACAATCCCAGGATGTTTACGTTCATTCTTTTAATTTCACTCTTGATGTTTCCAGTTTACCTACTTGCAAAAGCATTCTCACATTCCCTGTTCCAATGACTACAGACTTATTCTTTGGTTTGCCTACAGTAGCCGGATGACGGTTTGGCTGCACCTGTAGCGCTGCGGGCCCCTACCAGACGAGGCAGTTCTTGGATTCCCCTTAACGTCATTTACGTTTATCGATTGTTGTACAGAGATGTTTTCTTTGCAAAATACTCACAGTAGGTTGCAATTTCTTTCTGTGAGAGCAGTGCCCATACTGGGTGGGTTGTCCTAGCCATTGTGCCTAATGAGGCATCATCTGCCTAGCACAGTTACAGTGATGACCAGTACTGAAACCTCACAGCTCCTCGCTGCGTTTATGCATCACCTGTCTGCCGTGACTTCCCTTAACCCTACTCGGAATCTAAGCGAGTGCAGTGTGAGGCCTTACATCTCCTGTTGGTAGGATTGACCCTACCACGCTACCCACTGGGTGTGAAATAGTGTAAATCAATCATGGTGCAAGCCAGGACAATAAAAAAAGGGGGAGAGAAATTGAGGGAGACACATCCTTTATTTCCATTAGCTCTTTCAGATCCAGATATTAAAGGGCTTTTCCCCAAGCCTTCAGACGTATTAGGCATACAGGGCTGGACCAATATTTTATAGACCAATAGTCACAGAATGGGTGTTGTGGTCATCATTTCGCCGGTCGCCTTTACTTCACTGAACTATATCTGGTACCTGCTCAAGGTTTGGTCGACTTGGCAGCCAAGGTCTGGCTCCGTCAGGACCCGAACCCACGACCTTCCGATCTTCAGATCCAGACAGTTATACGTTAATTTTTTTCTGGGGTTAAAAGGCATTTTTACATATTATTTTGTCATTGTGAACAAAGAGTTAAAAAAAAATACAATGGAAACAGTGGGCCTGTGTAAGCCATGGGTTACACCGATGGCAGGAGGTTAAAACAAACTTATCATCTTCGAGTAATCAAGAGACGCATACTGAGTTCCTTGGTATTAAAAGAGTTACCGATACTTTGCTGTGCCTCTATTTTCAAAGTTGTCCAGAAGCACCAAAGTAAAGGGAATGCTAAGTTGATATGTCTCCTCTTTAGGTGCGGAAACGTTTGTTTGGTATATGATCTTTGTTTGGAATACGAACATTATGAGTCAAATTTTGTCACGACATCGCGCGTTATCTTCATTTAATCTCTCTAGAGACGAAGCAACTGATAGATGTCAATAATTGTGCAGAGAATGCCCAATAGAATGGCAATTTCTGAAATGGCGTGAGCATGTCACATTTTCGAAACATCCAGTGGAGCAGGCAGAAGCTACATTCTTTGGAAAGATGCTTAGTTGAAGTCAAACCTGAAGAGCATGAACCAGGTCCAAGTAGTCAAACGGACAGAGATAGAGAATAGAGAGAGAGTGTGTGTGTGTGAGAGAGAGAGAGAGAGAGAGAGAGAGAGAGAGGGAGAGAGAGAGAGAGAAAGAG